AGAGATTGAGGAAGACATCAGGAGATGGAAGGCTTTCCCATGCTCATGAAATGGAAGAATTAATATTGTGAAAATGACCATTCTACCAAAAGCCATTTATAGATTCAATGCAATCCCAACCAAAAATCCCCATGACATTCTTCACAGAATGAGAAAAAAAAATCCTAAAATTCATAAGGAAGCACAAAAGACTCTGGATAGCCAGAGGAACCCTGAACACAAAGAGCAATGCCAGGGAGATTACTATACCAGATCTCAAAGTATACTACAGAGCTATAGTCATAAAAACAGCAGGGTACTGGCACAAAAATAGATCTATAGATCACTGGAACATAACTGAAGACCCAAACATGAATACATGCAATTTCAGCCACCTCATATTTGACAAAGGGGTCAAGAACACTCACTGGAGGAAAGACAGCATCTTCAGCAAATGGTGCTGTCAAAACTGGATGTCCACTTGTAGAAGAATGAAACTAGACCCTTATCTTTCACCTTGCACAAAAGTCAACTCCAAATGAATCAATTACCTCAGTATGAAACCTGAGGCTCTGAAACTGTTAGAGGAAAGCATAGGCAGTACCCTACAAGATATGGGTGCAAGAAAGGACTTTCTAAACCGGACATCAATTGCTCAGGACTTAAGATCAAGAATCAACAAGTGGGACCTCATTAAACTAAAAAGCTTCTGTACATCAAAAGAAACAACCAAGAAAGTGAAGAGAAAACCCACAGAATGGGAGAAAATCTTTACCAGTGACACATCTGACAGAGGGTCAATATCCAGAATATATAAAGAACTCAAAAATCAAAGACTCAAGCAAGTGACCCAACTTAAAGATGGGCTATAGATCTCAACAGAGACTTCTCAAACGAAGAAATAAAGATAGCTAAGAAAAGTCTTAAAAAGTGTTCAACATCATTAGTAATTAGGGAAATGCAAATTAAAACCACCTTAAGGTATCACCTTACCCCATTCAGACTGGCTAGGATCAAGAGAACAAATAATACCAAATGTTGACAAGGATGTGGAGAAAGGGGAATGCCTATTCACTACTGGTGGGATTGCAAATTCATGCAACCCCTATAGAAAGCAGTGTGGAGAACTTTTTTTAAAAAGATTTTATTTATTATTTTTATTTTATGTGTATGAGTGTACTGCCTGCATGTATTCGAGTGCACCCATGTCGTGCAATGCTGTGGAGGTCAGAAGAGGGCTTTGGATTCCCCTAGAACTGGAGTTACAGATGGTTCGTCGCCACCATGTGGGTGTTGGGAATCAAACCGAGGTCCTCTGCAAGAGCAGTCAGTGCTCTTAACCACTGAGCCATCTCTCCAGCCCCAGAGAACTCTTAAAACTCTAAAAATGGACCTACCATTTGACCCAGTTATACCACTCCTTGGCATGTACCCAAAGCACTCATCCTATTGCAGAGATACTTGTATATCCATGTTTGTTGCTGCTCTTTTCACAATAGCTAAGAGATGGAAGCAACCTAAGTGCTCCACAACTGATGAGTAGTTAATGAAAATGTGGTACATTTACACAATGGAGATCTACTCAGTGGTAAAGAAAGATGAGATAATGAAATTTGCAGGTAAATGGATAGAAGTAGAAACTGTTCTAACTGTTCTACTTCATACTAAGTGAAGTAACACAGACTCAGAAAAACATATGACATACATTCTCCCTCATATGTGGATCCTAGCACCAAATCCTCATATCTGAGTATGTATCCTGATGTAACTCCAGGAACCAGGATAAATGATAAAGGAACCAGGGAGGTAAAGCAAGAGAAGGAACCTGAGCAAGAAGAACAGTAGGAGACAGGTGTTACTAAAGGAGAAATGGATAAAATGGGGGTATTTAAATGGAAGGGGGGAAGGAAGGTTATACAAAGAACTTGGGGCTAAAGGGAAAGAAGGAGCTCAAGAGACCATAGGAGAATGGTATTATCAAGGGAGAAATGAGGGAAAAGGGGACACTTTAAATGGGGAAGTCATGGTGCAAGGGTTAGATGGGGAGAGAGAGGAGAAATAAATAATGCCTAGCTAGTGTAAAAAACAACAACAACAACAACAGAGGAAATCATATTAGTCCAAACAACCTAATGACAAGTGACACATATAATATCTCTAAGTGAGTCCATGTGTATAGCTAAAGGCTACATAACAAGAAACAGTGCCAGACAGGAGAAACCTTCCTTTGAGTTGTTGGCCAGGCAGGGTGGCCCAAGAGACTCCCAAAATTACATAGGTTATTGCCACAGCCCTTGATGGCCTCCCAGAACTTGAAGGCATTACTGCTAAAGACAGAACATACTTTGGACACAGAATCTGGAGCAATGGAGCTGGAACTGACCTGGAAGCCACTTTCCCTGAAGGCTAGCTCTCATAGCTTTGGAGAGCACTCTGCAAGCTGCTAAGGGAGAACATCAATCGATGGTCCAACATCAGCTTCAAGACCAAATGACCACATCAATGACCTGCACAGCATATGACACTGGTACCGTAGTGGTACTTTTATCTTGGGGTCAATCACCAGCTACCTAATTAGACTAAAAGCCCACTCAATGGGAGGAAACTCCTGTGGTACTGTAAACAGAGTCAAACATACATGGCTGGAGAGAAAACCCCCAAACTGTCACATCCCTAGACTAATGTAATTCCTTACTATGTGCAAAATATGTATCCTTATATTTACAGACAAATATCCCATCACCACTCATCATAGAAGCTTCTTTTGTACCAGACGAAGACAGAGTACCACAACTGGTCACACACAGACATTGTCTGTGAATTGCCCAAGTCTAAGTGGCACATCTACAATGCAACCTCTACATCTAAGGCTCACAGAGCATAGAACAAGGTATAAAGACAATAATGAATATCTCAATTCTCATTAATGAAGCTCCCTCATGCAACAGAGGGCCAGGAACACAAAAGGTCACAAATGGCCAAATTACAGCGATTAAGAGCCTACAGAATGCTCATCCTTGGACAGGACTCCTATATTAAACTCCACTCACCCAGGGCTCAGGGACCACTGCAGAAGAGGGGGTGGAAAGATTGTAAGAGCCAGGGAGGAGGTGCATGACCATATGGAAATAGAGCCCTACAAGCTCCTGCAACCCTGCTCATATGAACCTACAGCAATGGTGTCAGCATGCACAGGACACATGCAAACTCAAACAGACAAAAACCCAGTGTAGAACTGGGGAAATGGATGGCTGACCCCCAATTTCAGCTGAAGAAATATTGGCAACTGATTACTGTTGGGTGAGGAAGAGCTGATCTTCCTAAAGTGAGGGAATCTAGATAAGCTGACTAGACCTCAGTAGATGAACCTGCACTGAGGGACATCTGGGGACACTAACTTGACACAACAGGCCTTAGCACAAATGACAGAATGTCTGAATTCCAGTCAGGGAGCTGTGGAGGGTACCAGTGGGGATGGGAGTATAAAGATGATTAAGATTTATTAAGATGTTCTATATGATATACACAAAACTCAAATATATGTAAAGACAACATAATAATCCAATAATACTTCTTTATGAGTACCTATTAACTGCTAAATACTGGTACTGTAATTAGCTAAAGCATAATTTTTTTTTTTTTTTTTTTTTTGGTCTTTTGAGACAGGGTCTCCCTGTAGCACCAGCTGCCCTAGAACTCACTATGTAGACCAGGCTGGCCTTGAACTCAAATAGATCGGCCTGCCTCTGCCTCCCAAGTGCTGGGACTAAAGGTGTGCATCACTACGTCCAGCTCAAGCATAAACTTAAAATTTTTTAAATTTATTTATTTATTTATATTTTATATATATGAGAGTTTTGCCTGCACGTAAGTGCACTTGTGTGCACAATGCTCACAGAGGCCAGAAGAGAGTGCCAGATCCCCTGGAACTGGAATTATGAATGGTTGTTAGCCCTATGTGTGTAGTGGGAACTGAACCCAGGTACTTTGCAAAAGCAGCCAGTGCTCTTAACTGCTGAGCCATTTTTCCAGCCCCTGAAGCATAAAATTTAAAGTTGACATTGAACTGACTGCTACTTTATGATTTAAAATACCACTTATAAACAAAAATGTAATGGGAAATCAAACATCAAAATGAAGAAAAGAAACAAGGATTTATTCCCTTCCAATAAAATCCTTTCCAAAATATCTCCCAGACCAGACGAGATGGTGCATGCCTGGGATCCCAGCACCTGGGAGGCAGAGGCAGAGGCAGAGGATCAAGAGTAGGAAGAGGCCTCCAAAGATGGCACAGACCCAGAGCCCTGGGATTCAGCTTGAGAGTTCACTTCACTTCCTGGCCGGTAAATAGCCCACGAAAAGGAGCATGCCAAAAGGAGCCTGCGCTTCTGTACCCTGCTCGTGAGCCTAGTGACTGCTGACGCAAACAGACTGCGCAGCGCGGACCAACCAGAACACGATACGCTGACCAAAGGGACTTGGGGGCGGAGAAAGGGAAATATAAAGCCTGCCCCCTCCTGCATTAAATGAGCCTGCAACACCTAGCCTAGTGCTTGCTTCTACCCGACTCCCGGTGTCTGTGTGTTGACTCCGCACCTCTTGCCTCCCCCCCGAATCGGCAGGTGACCTGATCCAGGTCAGGGTCTTCACAGCTGGCCTGAGGAGAACCCACAACAATCAAGAGTTTGAGGCTGGCCAGGTGTGGTAGCATATGCCTTTAGTCTCAGCACTCCAGCACTCAGGAGGCAGAGGCAGGCGAATCTCTGTGAGTTCGAGGCTTGCCTGGTCTACATAGTGAGTACCAGGCTAGCTAGGGCTACAGGGAGACCCTGTCTCAAAAAGATCAAAAACACCAAAAAAAGGGAGGGGTTCAAGGCTGGCCTGGGCTTCATGAGACCCTGTCTCCAATTAATCCATCAATTGACCAATCAATCAATCATCATTGAACTTATTTTTTAGGGCAGCATTACCCTCCTGATCCCTTCTGGTTAGGCTTATGCAACAGAGAGGTGGAAGGATACGTTCCAGCTTGAGTCTTCAGATACAGGCGAAAATGATGCTCATCCAGGTAATGTGTCTCCATGGAGTGAATGGCACGAGTTCTCACTGCCAAAGGCCTTCGGTGAAGGACCCGCAGAGGCGTTTTCTGGTCGATTTTTAAGTCCTAGAGGAGGGTGTTACACAAGCACAGAGTCAGAGCTTCCTCAAGGTGAAGCCTTTGAACCTCTGTTGTCATCCATAGCTTACCACACAAGTTTCCATCTCTGGCAGGGTAGAACAGGAACTCAGTAATAGTAGAATCAACTGTACTAAGTCCAAACTGTGCGGGACTTCTCACAACCTCGCTCACAACTGGCTCGTTTTCTGGGGATTAGTGCCCTCATCACAAAAAATAGGCTCCAGAGTCAATGATCCTGAGGGCTCTTCTGCTCAGAGTTAACAAACTGGTGAGGATCCTGGAACTCTAGCTCACTCTGCACTTCAACTGGGCATTGCCAGGAGATAATGTTGTTACCTTTGTTTTCTAATGCCACTGAATAACCAAAAAGCGAAGGTTTTAGGCTAGAATGAGGCTGCAGGTAGCAGACTGTGGGACCGCGGTGTCACTTGTTCATATGGCAGAGTGCACATTTTAGGGAGAACCGTGTATCTGTATTTTTTCCAGGATTTGTTGTACAAAAGGCTATATCTGGAAAAGCTGCATCACTGTTTAGCAAGGCATTTCAATATAACGATTGTAAATAAGTATGTACGATAAACCAGAGCATCTCAGTGCTATTTGTCATATCAGCCTTAGAAAAATAATATTGTATTTTAACAATTCAATTTTTTCAGTGGTACGGGCTGCTTTTTCTCATAATAACTTTAGAGATTTCTCCTTATTTAGATGATATAAATTAAGAAACAGAAGTTAACACTATTTTAAAAAGTCAGCTAATTCCCAGTTTTAAAAAATAGGTTTTAGGCAAACCAGAAAGGTCGGTTCTTAGGAATGCTGAACTCTGTGCAATTTCTCATTGGAACAACTCTTCCTAATTTACATGAGGAGCAAGAACAGACGCTTTGCTGAAGGGAAGAAAAGGTGCTGTCTGCATTCTCTTCCAGCCACCAAGAGCTCAGTGCAAGCTCTGACAAAGACCACACTTGGAAGGGCCCAACTGATCCATCAGAGCAGTGAGTCAGCGGCCCCTCCTGTGACTTTTATGATTCTATCATTCTTACAAGATGAACTGTCTCTATGAGGCTTGCCTTTCTCCAGCCAACAAAACAAAACAAAAAACAAGATTCAAGACTCAACTATTGAGGAATCTATAAAGATATGGCCTCCACTCCAGAGCATAGAAATAGCTGGTCTTTAGTGAACAACTATCTACGGAGGCCTCCACCCTTGCTTGCTTTACCTCTCCACTCACTCCCAGCATTGAACATGAGCCAGTCACCAGAGCTGCCAGACCTGCCACAGCTACCAATACAGCACTCAGTCAGCACACGTGTTCCTGCATGGTTCAGGTATGTTTTCAAAACAAAAGGAAACCACTGCACCTACTGAAAGCACACACTCCGCTATTCCCATTCTGCAAAATTTTCAGAAACACACACAAACACACAGAGTTTTTTCCTTAGAAGTAGTGGATAGACTTGAAATGATCTTTTTCTCAGAATACAGAAGTAACTCGTTTTTATCTTTATGTCAATGGGAATACTGGAAAACCATAAAGCTGTTTAGAAACCAAGAAGGCACAGCAGTCTACCTGGGCTGTGGCCTCTGTCACCATTTAATGTGTCTCCTGAAAATCACCTTTCTGTATTGGTTTTGAATAGCTCCACAGTGATCCCTAACTATGACTTTTTTCCTTTTCGATCCTGGGAATCCTACCCAGGGCCTTGCACATACTAGGCAAGCTATCTCTGAGCTATAATATCCCCAGCCCCTAATCTCCTTTTTCAATGAATTTATTTTTCTACCAGCACTCTGAATGACTTGTACATCTATGAAGAAACAAAGAAGCTCATAAATCTGTTTTTATTTTTAAAGATATCTGTCTATACTATAACTACTCACCTTAGGGTTGGGGTATAGCTCATTTGGTACAGTGCTTGCCTAGTATGCATGAAGCCCCTGGGCTCCATTCCCAGCAGAGTCTAAAATCATAGGTGTTGGTGAGGGGGAGGCAGGGGGATCAGAAGTTCAAGGTCATCCTTGGCTACAGAGTGAGTTTGAGGTCAGCCTGGGTTACATGAGAAACTGTCTCAATATAAGAAAACAACAGAATAAAGTAACTACACACCTAAAGGCCCTAGGCAGCAAGAGCAAAGCACAAGGGGCCTTAACACAGAATGGGAAGTGCAGGGGCCTGTGGAGGTGACTGGGGTTATCCCCTCGATTTATAGATGAGCATCTCTAGTACACAAACCAGGTATTTTTTGTTTGATTTTGTTTTATTTGATTTTGATAGAGAGTCTCCCCAGCTACAGGCACAGGTGGCCAACCCCAGCTTTTCCATGGGTGCGGAGATCTGAACTCAGGTCCTCATGCTTGCACAGCAAGCACTCTCACCCACTGAGCCATTTCTCCCAAAAGTAAGCTGTCTGTACAGGAAGGACAGGGGAGAACACATACATACAACAAACAAGGGATCCTCTACAGGAACATGCTCATGTGAAGGCATGTGACAAATACATGTGCTTCACATAATTCTCATGTTTTATTCATGTATGTAATTTCAGCATCAATTCTATTAAGAACATTTTATTTTATATTTAATTTTTACAGACAGCTAGATATAATAGCAGCATTACCCAGTATTTTGCATGTGGTTGGTACCATTCAAATGCTTTATATAATTGGGCTAAATTCATTCTTTAAATTAATTTTACAGATGAAGACACTGGAGCATAAAGAAGTTACGGAGTTTGTCCAAAGTCACACAGTTAAGAAATGCAGACCCAAGATTTGCCCCCAGTATCTGTCTTCAGAGTCAGCAACAGTGCCTCTCCAATGAGGTAGACAAATACCCAGTCATTCAACTGGTAAATGGGAAAGCCAGGATTCGAATCCAGGTCACACAGACTAACCCCAAGGCTCTATGACTCGCTGGTTAACACATAGAAGATAACGCGTTCTTTTACATGTAGAAGATAAAAATAGCATAAAGAGCATTTAGCTACCTTTATATCATTTAGAAAGTCGATGTCATTCTTCTGTATTGCTTTGTTCGTCCATATTAAGGCGCTATAGGTCTTGGTCTTTTCTTCCTCGCCTTCCTTCATATGCCCTATTGCCTCTCTAAACAAAAGCAGTAAAGGACAGTTTGTCTGGATACATAACATGCACAGGCCTTGTCCCAATTTTTCTTCCCTTAAAAACAGCTTCATTTCCATATAACTTGCATACAGTTCCTCCATTCTAACTACATAAGACAATGTGTACTGTGTTTACAGAGATGTGCTGCTACCACCACAATCTAACTTTATAACACTTGAACAACACTCCACTCTCTTCCTATGTCCTTTTTGGAGGCCATAAGGACCCTTACCAATCAACCCCTACACAGTTCTCACGCAGTGCAATCCCAGCACGCGTGCTATCTGGTGACTGGCTTCCTTCATTTCACAATGATGTCAAGGCATGGTGGAGCATGAACCAGTACCTCATTCCCTCCTTTACCAACTACTACTCCACTGCTTGGATATTCTCCCCTTATCTGGTTTGAGTTTGCCTACAGACAACCTCAGATCAAAAACAGTACCTAGAAAAATTCCAAAAGTAAAGTATGTTAAAACTTATTCTATAGTATATTGCTATAAGTTTCCCATTTTATTATTAGTTTTTGTTAATCTCGTGCTTAATTTTTATTTTAAACTTTATCATGGATTGTGTATAGGGAAAAAAATACTATATATAGAATTCAGTACTATCTGCAGAGTCAGGCATCCATTGGGAGTCTTGGAACATTTCTCCCAAGAAGGGACTACTATATCATGTCACGTTTTGTTTATAGATATACAAACAAGTCTTCCTCGTGTTCCTCCTCCTCTTCCTCCTCCTCCTCCTCCCTTTTCTATTTTAAAAATATTTTATTATTTTTTATTTCATGTATTTGAGTGTATTGCTTGCATGTACGTAAGTGAATCTATGTCATGCGATGCCTGTGGAAGTCAGAAGAGGGTGTCAGATCCCTGGAACTGGAGTTACAGATGGTTGTTAGCTGCCATGTTGGTGCTTGGAATCAAATCCAGGTCCTCTGCAAGAGCAGACAGTGCTCTTAACCACTGAGCCATCTGTTCAGCCCCATCTCCCTTTTGTTTTTAAAGACTCATATAATCCAGGCTGGCCTTGGACCCACTACTTAGCAAGGACAGCTAATCCCAACCTTCCTGCCTTAGCCTCCTAATTACAGGAATTACAGGTGTGTGCCACCACTGGCTACTGCACTGCTATGAATGTTCATGAAGAAATTTTTGTACTGACTTGTTTTCACTTCTCTTGTTTCTATAATATCTAGAAGTGGAAATTCTAGGTCATATGGTAACTGTGTTTAATTTTTCGAGAAATTGTCAAACTAGTTCAAAGTGGCCACACTTACAACCTCATTAGCAATGTATGTGGCAGTTTCTCTAGTCCTTGCCAGGAGTTTTTTTTTTTTTTTTTTAATTATAGCCATCTAGTGGGTATGAGTGGGACCTCACAGTGGTTTTGATTTGCATGACCCAGTGATGTTGGGCATTTTTTCACACTTACTGACTGTTCATATATCCTCCTTGGAGAAATGTCTACTTAGTTATTTTTCCATTTTTTAACTGGGTTGTTAGAGGTTTTTATTTTTTCCTTTATATACTTCAGATGCAATTCCCTTGCCAAATAAATGATCTGCAATGAAAACTTCCCTTTTGAAATCTCTCCAGCACGCCCATCCTTACCTTGTGACAAGCTGCAAATCTCGTACTTGGATTTTGTCAGATGACTTGTTTATTTTCTGTAGTAGCAGAAAAACAAAGATAATTAGCAAGTCTAGCTGGGTTAGAGTTGCAGAAACAGTGCTTTCCATGTCATGAAACAGTTTACCTGCTGAAGTTCTTGAATCTCCTGTGAAGTAAAATGTACTCTGTGAGGATTCACCAGCTCAACTGCAAAGGGCCTTCCTGGCAGCGCACCCCATCATGAAACAGAAACGTGTTGATGGAGTTAACATTTGGGCGAATGAAAGAGGTCTGGGAGGTGTGAAAAACAGGCTGAGCTCTAGAGGACTGAAAGTTTAGCAACATGACTGCATCTGGAGGTGTGAAGATGTATGAAAAGAATCAAGGGGCTTTGGGGGACTGGAGTGCGGAGACTGCTGAGCCCCACATGGGCAAAATGTGAAAACAACTGCCTTCCCAAAGGTCCACACACAAGCCTGCATTAACTACAAATAACACTAACATGGTCACACAGCAGTGCCCAGGTGCACCAAGGTGAAATTCCCTCTCCAATCCCATCTACTACCACCAAGGAAGAATTGTTGTTCTGCAAGAGGAAGGAGCTATAAATCTCAGATAGCCCAGCATTAGTCCTCAGAATCTCCATTATAATTCAACAAATTAAATGAGAGATGAAGACTAAGAGAGTTTGAAAACTATGGGTAGCTTCTGAAATGTTATTAAATGGAACAATTAATAATCAGACATCGGGGGGGGAAGTTAGGTATCTGCTCCTGAATGCACATAAAAGTCCATTTTGACGTACAAGTGCACAGTGGGGATGCCTCTGAGGGAATGACTCCTGTTCATACACAGCACAGTCTACAAAGGTGGCACCACAGTCACTTGGCTTCTCCATCTGGAGGCGCTTAGGGCCCTGCCTACCTGGGTTCTAAGTGACTATGGTCAGCCTGCTGTCTGGAACAGGTAACAGTCAGAAAGCTGGCTCTAGTCAGGTGGTGTGGATGCAATCTTACCGTTTCCTAATGTCCTCACATCCACATCTTCTCTTCCAGAGGATGAAAAATTAAAACCTGTGAAAAGCAGAACAAGAAAAAAACAGATCGTAGACAGAACAGTCCCGGGATACTTGGTTCCAACCTCTGGTAGAAATCCAATTTAAGGTGTTGGGTTCCTAGCGATCTATAGGAGGAGCTCAAAGGACAATGATCACTAATATCTATCTTGGCTAATAATAGTAACAAAAATAACAAACACTACTCACCACGTGTCAGGCACTGGAATAAAATGATATACACATTATTTAATCCTTATTATAACTTCATTAAATAAATGAACACAAACCAGAAATGTAGGTGTTTATCCCAGGATCAAACAACTAAGTGGCAGAGCTGTTTTTGTGACATTAAAGCCAGAATTTAACCATTATCCCATACCCCATTCTCATAGAAATCCAAGGCTGGAAGGAAGGATCCACCTCCCCAGACACTAGCTTAAGGGGTCTCTCGTGTCTTTTTCCTTCTTTAAAGCAAATAAGCAAACAACGTGTTAAAATTAAACTGTATGAAAAAAAAAAAAAAAGAAGTGGGGGGAAGAAAAGTCTGATTCTTAAGTAGCAAATTATTTATATAATCAAACCTAACCTGGAGCCATGTTAAAACCAATGTACAATCCAAGATGAATATATCATCACAGACCAAAAGCTGGAAATGTTTGATATAGAAAACAGTTTAAAAAGGAAAAAAGAAAGTTACATAACAATGTTGATAGATATGAATCAAACTGAAGACTTCATCACTGTAGTAAACCGTATCATGAGCAGCTTTATTCCAAATGCTTAAACAGGTCAACACTGCCTTGCTTCCCTTTTACTTCTAAGGAAGGTAAGACAGACAGGACAAATATCCTGCCAAAGTCATATCAGTCTAAGAATGCAGATGTGGGTAGCAGGGTTGGGGATGAATGAGGCAGTCTGACACTAGAAATCTCTTAACCACTAGGCTACACTGTACCACCACCAAGACAAAAGCAGAGGAACTCAGACTGCACTCAGGGCAACACGTAGGACCAAGGGCTGGGAAAGGAGGGGCTACTTTGGGAACCCCAAATGGTCTCTACAGTGATAAAGTTTAAAATCTCTGAACATAGAGGCTGAAGGGTAGCAGAGCCTTGACTCGAAATGCATTGATGTATTCATTCAGGATGCCTAGTATGGTAAGGTACTGTGCTTGATGCTGAAGAGATAAGACAAACCATATGGGCACAGTCCTTGTCCTCAGAGAGCTTCCTGTTTGAGGAGAGATCTGGACTACAATGTGGCAGGCAGGCACAGGTAAAAGAACAATCTTGCACTAAGAGCACAAGTCTTATTTTATTAGTCCCTATTCTATTGTGTTATTACTGTGTGTGTGAGGTGGGGGGAGGGGGGAGAGAGGTGGGTGTGTGTATGTGTGAGACAGGAAGAGAGGGGGATAGAAGGGGCAAGTATGGCACATGCCATGACACATGTATGGAGTAAAAGGACAACTTTCTGGAGTAGTTCTTTTCTTCCACTGTGGTTCCAGGGACCAAACGCAAGTCATCACATTTGCACAACAAGCACATTTACCTGCTGAGCCATCTTGCCAGTCCTAAGAGCACAATTCTAACACAGGCTTTAGAGTTTGTGTCAGCTCCTCAATATTCAATCACACTGGAACTCAGATGGGAAGAAAGACAGGGAAGAGAAAGGCAAACAAAGACCGTGTATCATTTTGGCATCTGTTTTCTCCTCTAAACATGGTTTCCAGGCAAATTTTAGAAAAAGAAAGATTAATCCTGCACACCTGTGGTCCCAGCTACCCAGAAGGCTAAGGCAAGAGGATCTTTTTGGTCTCGGAGTTAGAGGGAAGAAGTAAGGGGTGGGGCTTAGGGAGGTTAACAGGAAGGAAGGAGCCTACCTGAAAGGTTAAAAAGTCCTGTGCTGGATAGCTTCAGTTGTCAACTTGACACACCTGGGTAGAGGGAGCCTCAATTAAGGAGCTTCCTCCAAAGGACTGGCCTGTGGCATGTCTGTGGGGTATTTTCTTGATTACTGGGTGATGTGGGAGGGCCCAGCCCACTGTGGGTAGTGGTCCTATGTTGTATAAGAAAGCAGGCTGAGCACAGACCAGGGGGCCAAGCCAGTAAGCAGCATTCCTCCTTGGTCTCTGCAGGTTCCAGCCTTGAGTTCCTACCTTGGGCTCCCTCAGTGATGAACTGTGACCTGGGAGATGCAAGATAAAATAAACCCTTTCTTCCCCATGTAGTTTTTGGTCAGTGTTTTTATCACAGCAATAGTAACTAGGACAAGTTCCATAATAAAGACACTAAAGATCAGCCCTCAACAGTATTCAAAAGTCCAGAGTCCAGATTCTCTTCCGAGACTCAAGGTAAACTCTTAACTGTAAGCCCCCTGTAGAATCAAAAGACAAGTTACATACTTTCAACAGCAAATATAACTGAATACACATTCCCAATTCCAAAAGGGAAGAATGGCAATCATACAGAGTAAATACTGGACCCAAACAAGACAGAACACCAGCAGGGCAAACACCAAATCCAGTAGCTCCATGTCCAATTTCTGGGACTTTACTTCCAAAGGGCCTAGATGGCTCAGCCCCTCCAGCTTTGCTGCATGCAACATCTCTTTCTTGGGCAGGGATTTCATGCATGCAGCTCTCCTTGGCAGATGTCTCACAGCTCTAGCATCTCCAATGTCTTCTTGGGGTCTCCATTGCCAATAAAGCTTCGCCCTCACAGCTTCACCTAATGGCCCATCAGGGCATTTTTTTTTATGCAGGGATGCTCTGCTGCACACTGATTGACCTCAGCAGGTCTCTGAAACCACAAAGGAAGAACCGATGACCCCTTTACGCGTGCATCTTTCATGGCTCTAAAGCAACACTGCCAAGTTTGACTGCCAGTTTGCAATGGACCCTGGCCTGCTTCATCCACATTAGCAGCTTTGCCATGATGTGGTTTTCTAGGAGCAGAAGACCCTTCCAGCATTTTCTTTTCACAAGTTGAAGGCTTAGCTAGGTGTGGTCTTACCTGGAAGGTACTCTTTCCATTGTTTAAGTGCAAATCTCTAGGCTTCTCCTTAAGCAATCTACTTTCCTTATCAAAGACAGCCTCTCCTTCAACACATGCCTTGACTCCAACAATGTTCCTAGTGCTCTTTTTCAATCCTGACTGCACATTCTGCATTTCTTTCTGCCCCACTTGCTCTTTTTCACTATAGAGCTGCATAATGTTTACCATTAATAGTCAAGCCATTATTTCTATGTTAAGCTGCCTTGAAATTTCCTCCACCAAAGAAATTAGTCCATTACTTTTCAACTTACCCTCAGGCAAGCTCTTAGGCTGTCGGCAGACAGCAGCCAAACACTTTCCCAAAATATCCCGGTTTCTGCTTAAGTCCTGAGTTCCCTCTGGAACTACTTTGCTCTCAGCACTACTTTCCTCCAGCTCCTACTAGAATGGCCTTTCAAGCTTTGCTTACAGCATTCAACTGCATTTCTAGTGCAAACTTCCAAAGTCTTCCACATTCCTCCAAACACCCACATGGTCAAGTTCTTCACAGCAATACCCAACTCCTGGTACCAACTTCTGTATTAATTACATTTCTGTTGCTGTGATAAAACACCACGACCAAGGCAACTTACAGGAGAATTCTGTTGCTGTGATAAAACACCACGACCAAGGAAACTTACAGGAGAAAGAGTTTATTTGAGCTTACGGTTCCAGGGGTAAGAGTCCATAATGGAGGAAAGGCATGGCAGAAGGAGTTGGCCAGAGCAGAAAGCCAGGTTATGACATCCTCAAGCAGGCATGGGAAGCAGATAGCAACAGGAAATCCAGCAAGGCTTAGGAACTCTCAAAGTCCGCCCCCTCAGTGACATGCTTCCTCCAGCAAGATCACACCTCCTAAACCCCCCAAAACAGTTTCACCAACCGGGGACAAAATTTCCAAATACTTGGAGATAAGCAGGGCATTCTCAGTCAAACCACTGGAACCATTAACTAAAGAATTAACAAGTAGATCACAGGATGTGCCAGTTCAAAGCAACTGAGAGACAAGTTTGCATGTCCTACTTAGGAGAAAGAATGGTTGTGTATGTAACTAGGCTGCTTGATCCAATACTGGCAAATGTCAAACTTGTCTTACAAGAGTTTTCAGATATGAACCACTAATCAGAAATAACACAATATAGACCTGAGAAACACAAGTTTAGCAAACTGATGCTGTTAATCAGGAATTTTTAACAAGGTTTCATCCTCTGACAAGAAGTTAGTTAGTACTGAGGGCTCTTTCTCAGATAGCTTTAATAAATTCTTCACACTGGGGGCTGGAAAGATGGCTCAGCAATTAAGACCACTGGCTGTTCTTGCAGAAGACCCAGGTTCAAATCCCAGAACACACATGGCAGCTAACAACTGTCTGTAACTCCAGTCCCAGGGGATCCAACAGCCTCTTCTGACCTCCGTGGGCATTGCACAACATGGGTGCACTGACCTACATGCAGGCAACACATGCATACACATAAAATAAAAATTAAAAAATAAAAATAAAATAAAATAAAATAAATTCTTCACCCTGAACACACAATTTGCCTTTATGTTTTGAGACCCAGTCTCAGGTAGTCCAGACTGGCCTCAAACTCACTCACTGTTTAACTAGGGATGACCTTAACTTCTGATCCTCCTGTCTTCACCTCTCAAGTGCTGGGATTATAGCCATGCACCACCATGTCCAATTTATGCAGTGCTGGCGATTGATCCCAGGGCAACCAAGCTACATCTTCAGCCTCACAATTTGCCTAACTTTCAATGGGGGAACAGTATTTCCCCCTTCAAATGGAAAATGACAAAAATCACCTACATGAAAGACTGAAGGGGGGGGGGTTCAGAACATTCCACAGCCCTGGAGTCATTAAGATAGCAGGTCTTTCTTGGGACCTAAACAGTCAGAACTGAAGATCCCTTGAATCCTCAAGAGAAATGGAGTGAGGTAGACCCCAAAGGATTTTGAACTTACTTGGAGCCTATGCGGGGCATTTTCATTCTTTTAGTTCTTTCTTTCTTGGTGCAGGGCTGTGAACCAGACCCAGAGCCTAGTGCATTCTAAGGGCTCTCCCAGTGAGCTAATCCTCAGCCCAAAACAGAAGTTTCATGATGAGCTTTATTTTCACATTTTCAAAACCCATGTAAGTCTTATGGGGAAAAAAAATCATTTTGTAAATATTAAGTAGGCAAAATTTCATAGCAATACCACAGAATCTTTACTCCTAAAATTTCAGAAACTATTAGGTTCCTGGGTTACTTTTTCTTCCAGAAAATAATTCATGGAAGTTGGGGAAATGACCGAGTCAATAAAGTGCCTGCAAGCATGAAGACCCGAGTTCATATCCATTCCCAGTATCCATGTAGAAATCAGGTATGTGGGCTGGCTGGATGGGTCAGCCACAGGAGCACATACAAGACCTGAATTCAGTTCCCAGCACCCATATCAGGGCTCTGCAGGCACAGTAACTACAAGCATGTGCTACATGTGTGCATACACATACACACAGAGGAAAACAATTCACAAAAACCTTTTTAAAAGAAAAAGAAGGGCTTACCTAAGTGACAGACAAGAACTCATAAGAGAGATGTGGTCTTAAATGCTTCTCTTTCCTCTTGACAAGTCAGAGAGCAGCAGCCATGACGTATCTAGACCATCTGCTTGCCCTTCTCAAAGCATCTTCCTCAGTGCTTCTCAGAGAGAAAGAAAATGCCTAGCCGGTCCCTGAGACAAAGTGCTACTCAGTGAGGAGCCCCACTCCAAAGTGGGACATCACTCACTGCCTACAGCTTTTCCTCTCAAGAGAAGTCTTATTCCCTTTTTTCTTGTCTTTTCCCAGGTAACATCACAAGCCTGTATGCTGCCTTCAACTTGACAGGCCAGTTGAGACAAGGAAAACAAGTCTTCCTGGACCTGACTCATCCCACAAACCTGGGCTCATTAATACCTAGGAAATTAAAACACAACACACTCTATAAAACGTTTGTAAAATGGCTGTTGTTGAACTATTTCATCAAGGTCTGAACTTCATCCCATATCACTTTAGGTTGAGGCAGAAGCGAGACACTCACCAGAGACTACTCTTGAACAAGCAATGGACATGAACATTTTACTTTACTTCATATTCCTCGAAGAAGCCAAGGCTGCGGTGTGCCAAGGGTAGGGTTGAAGTGCATTCATCTAAAGTAGCTTCAGTAGTTCCGAATTTCCAAGGAGAGGGCATTCATTCCGAGAAAGGACAAATAACCTTGGGTATGTAGACTAAAATCTAGCCAGGGCCAAAGAGCCCTGCACATACCAAAGGCTGTTCATGGAAAACATGCAGCCAGGAAGCCCAGACTGGGTAGTGACTAACAAAACAGAGAACTCTTCCCTGGAGAGTCCAAGGGACCTACTTGGGAACAACGTATTAAAAACATGAACATTACAACACTTACCATCGGCTTTGAATACTCCCAAGAGATGACCTGAAATTAATTCTTCTACTGAAGACTCCAGCTTCCTTTCTCCATCAATTATCCAAGGAGTTTGTGGTAGATTCCTGGAGTATTTGTTATATCTGCCTACCAAAGAATATCAGGTAATTGGATGGAATGCTGTGATCAGTTACAATACTAAAGAAAGGGAAGCAGCACCACTTAATAAGTCTAATAGCCTACTTGCTAGCCTTTAACTGAATAACAATCCAACGTGGGAAGCCATCACATAGACATGAAGATAAAGGATTTAAATAGCGGGCTGGAGAGATGGTTCAGCAGTTAAGAACACTGGCTGTTCTTGCAGAAGACCCGGGTTCGAATCCCAGAACCCACACGGCAGCTAACAACTGTCCGTAACTCCAGTCCCTGGGATCCGACAGCCTCTTCTGATCTCCACAGGCATTGCACCACATGGGTGCACTTACCTACATGTAGGCAATACACACATACACATAAAATAAAAATAATAAATAAAATTTTTAAAAACTAAAATAAGATATTAAAGTAAAATAGAATAGATGGTTTAAAAATACACAAATAGTGCACCAAATGAGTTGGAAAGGAATGCTCAAGATATTTAATACTTGGGGCTAGAGAGATGGCTCAGCAGTTAAGAACACTAGTTGTTCTTGCAGAAGACCCGGGTTCGAATCCCAGCGCCCACATGGCAGCTAACTGTCTGTAACTCCAGTCCCAGGGGATCCGACAGCCTCTTCTGACCTCCTTGTGCATTGCACCACATGGGTGCACTTACCTACATGTAGGCAATACACACATACACATAAAATAAAAATAATAAATAAAAATTTTAAAAAATATATTTAATACCCTGACTCACTGATGGAAATAGTTGTATTATAGAACACACCAAACATAAAAAAGTGTTGCTCTTGCACATAACTAATAATACTTTAAATAAAATAGTTATTGGTAGCCGGGCGTGGTGGTGCACGCCTTTAATCCCAGCACTCGGGAGGCAGAGGCAGGCAGATCTCTGTGAGTTCAAGGCCAGCCTGGTCTACATAGTGAGTTCCAGGACAGCTGGGGCTACAGGGAGACCCTGTCTCAAAAAGACAAAAAAAAAAGCAAAAACAAAACAGTTATTGGTGATGATATATTGCAAAGAGTTCAAATACAGGAAAAATTTAAGCTTTTAGAAGTTAAAAAGCAGAAACCCCTAACGAGCTGTGACTTGCTGCCTTGGGAGTAAATCTGCACACAGGCAGGTAGCTATTGCCGCCAAGGTGGTAATTTCATTTCCACTTTTACCATGAAGCAGCTGTAACAAAACAAAACAAAAACCTATGTGCTAGTACCACTGGTGGAAGCCAAGTGTTTAGTCACTGAGAGTAGTATAAAATCCTTTTGTCAAGTTTGCCTTCCATGTTATAAAGCAACCTGTGCCTTATGATCTTTCTCCTGCCCAGTTTCGGGTCTCCTCATCTACCGATAGTTCCTTTTGATCATCTTTGATGCAAACTGCTAACATCTGGGACATGTCATTTCCCTTTGACATGGCATTTTAAGTAACAGATCTCCTGAGATCTTTAAGAAAGTCAACAAAACCTAAAAAAGTTTTCCTATCAGTTCTAATTTTCAAATGGCAACCAGAGCCTCCTAACAACAGTCTGAACAGAGCAGAAGAATCAGCTGATGAGTTCAGAAAGCTCAGGAAGTTGACAAGGTATATATATGTGCTAGATGAAATACTTTACCAGCAACAAAAACAGCACCATGAGCACATTCGGTTTCAAGGACAGTGCATACAGTCTTTGGTAAGTTTGGAGGACAAGGAAACTGCCTGCAAAACAAAATAAATTTTATGGAGATTAGTACTTGAGACACACCTCACAAAACTAAGATGAACGGAGTTGTCTAAGAAACACAAAGCCTAAGTCTCCAGGACTACACCTCTAGTTTCAGAATGAAAATGGTCCTTCAGGCCTCTGAAGTAACACTTTTAAAATTTTATTATGTTTTGCTTTATTGAGATGGGGGTCTTACTCTGCAGCCCAGGCTGGTCTGGAACTCACTGTGTTATATAGCCTGGCCTTGAATTCAGAGCAATCTACTTGTCTTAGCCTCCTGAGGACTAAGATTACAGGCATAAGCTACCAGGTCAGCTGTGGAGTACCAGCTCTAACACGTGACAGGGGCACTCACTAAATCAAGGCTCTGATGTTACCCTTCAGTCAGGAGGTCTCATCTTCCCCGGTGATAATTTGTAATAACCTTCAGCTTTGGGGAGAAAACCCACACACACAAGGCAGAAAGCCCTGCAGACTCTTCAGTCACTTTGCTCTCCTTGGTCACTTTTGCGGCTTCATGAGCCTCACTCACTTGGGTAACTGGTATGCAATAACGGGTCCCGCCTGTGGGGAGGGTGCGCCCACTCCATTCCAAGCAAGGGCATGCCCACTTCTTTTCTCTCCTTTGGAGCTGGGCCATACTAGAAAACATGGGAACTGGGATGGAACAGGAATAGTCTGGGTCCACTAAATGGCTCAGCTGAAAATTTAGGCAACTCCTTCTTTGGACACCAATACCCTCTTCTATTTTTTTTTTTTTTTTTGGTCTTTTTTTGAGACAGGGTCTCCCTGTAGCCCCAGCTATCCTAGAATTCACTATGTAGACCAGGCTGGCCTTGAACTCACAGAGATCTGCCAGCCTCTGCCTCCCGAGTGCTGGGATTAAAGGCATGCCCCACCACGCCCGGCCCTACCCTCTTCTATTTTTAAAAAATATTTTATTATTTTTATCTTATGTGAATGAGTGTGTTGCCTGCATGTACATAGGTGCACATGTGTCATGCAATGCCCTCAGAGGTCAGAAGAGGGCACTGGATCCCCTGGAACTGGAGTTAAGACAGTTGTTAGCTGCCCTGTGGGTCCTCTGCAAGAGCGGTAGTGCCCTTAACTGCTGAGCCAACTCTCCAGCCCAAAGGTGTTTTTTTTGGTCTTTTTTGAGACTTGGTCTCCCTATAGCCACAGCTAGCCTAGAACTCACTATGTAGACTAGGCTGGCCTCAATCTCACAGAGATTCATCTGCCTCTGCCTCCTGAGTGCTGGGATTAAGGCCTGTGCCACCATGCCTGGCTCAATACCCTCTTCTAAATAAAGGTTTTGGTTTTGGTTTTTGGTACTGGGGATCGATCCCAAGCCTCAACTTTGCTAGGTAAAACTCTACCACAGAGTCACACCCTGACCCTCTTTACTGAAACATAAGGAAGTCAGGCTTGACTCATAATTCAAATGTTAATTTGACAAACATTTACTGAGCATTACTACATGCCAAGTATTATAGTAGAGACCGGGGATATGAAGAAGACTAAGATGTCTGTGACATCCAACCAATCTTGCCTTAGGGTTAATTCAGATTCTAACAGTCACTTTTTTCTAAAATCCTACAATGCCTCCTTGCTCTATACTTACTTGAGGAAATCCTCTTCTTTTATCTTATTCAAAGCTTTCAAAACTGCCATTCGGGTGAATACTGACTATATGAAAATGAACAAAAAAGATATTTTATCACCTAAAGCTGAAAAGCTGAAACAAAGAACATGGTTAGATAAATTATATCATTAACATGTTTAAAATCAACAAACACTTAAGTCTCAAGAAATTAAGTAAAACTTAAGTGCTCTTAATGTCAGATCTGGTACACCTCTCCAGCCCTTTTCTTCAATCTATGTCTATTACACATGTGGATCAGGCAGAACAAGTCTCCTTTACTAAACAAACAAGCAAATAACCAAAAGAATAAAATAAATGGAAATGTTTATTTCTTAGTATAATACAAAGTTGCCACATTTCTAATACATACCCACTTTATTGTGGATTGGGGCATTTAGCTCAGGAAAAACTCACTTTTAAATATTTTATTTATTTGTTTATTTATTTTAAATTTATGTGTATGAGTGTATTGCCTGCACGTATGTAAGCACACATGTGTTGTGCAACACCAGTGGAAGCCAGAAGAGGGCGCCAGGTCCCCCCAGAACTGGAGTTACGAACAGTTGTTAGCTGTCACATGGGTGCTGGGAAACGAACCCAGGTCCTTTGCAAGAGTAGTCAGTGCTCTTGACCACTGAGCCATATCTCCAGCCCCCAAACTCATTTTTAAAAATAAGAAGTAAGGCCAGGTGTGGTGGCGGACGCCTGTAGTCCAGCACTTGGGAGGCAGAGGCAAGCAGATCTCTGTGAATTCAAGGCCAACAGCTGGGGCTACAGGGAGACCATGCTTCAAAAAGACAAAAAAAAAAAAAAAAAAAAAAAAAAAGAAGTAAAAGCGGGTATGGTGGCTCACACCTTTAGTTCCAGCACTTGGGAGGTTGAGGCAGGCAGATCTCTGTGAATTTAAGGCCAGCCTGGTCTACACAGTGAGCTCCAGGCCAGCTGGAGTTACAAGGAGACCCCGTCTCAAGAAAAACCAAAAACAAACTAAAAGGCAAAAAAAATAAAAATAAAAGTAAGAAGTAAAAATCCTTACCTGTTTGTTTTTGGCTGGTTTGAAACAATCTGGGCAAACTTCAGCTCTAAAATAAAATTCAAGTTACTATAAAAGGCTAATGAGTTTATTTTAGGGTGGACATAATTCAAATACATTTTATATGACATTGCTGCTAAATCAGGCTCTCAGGAGTTGTACATGTGCTAGACCGGCTTCCCTACGGATCTTACATGAGATGGCACATACTAAACCTACTAAGGCGTGGGAACAAATTCTGAATATTCGCTAGAAAGAAAAACAATACTATCTTCATGAAAACCAAAAGCATTGACAATTTTACATAATTGACACTTTTTAAAAAGGCAACTTACAGGAAGTGGCAATCCTCAACTGTTTCTGGGTGAGCAAAGACCACACTCACTTCAAACAAGCTCTAAAAATTGTAAGACAGTTTTTAAATGAGCAAAAGGAAAGTAACAGCTAACAACTTATGAAAGGAAATAGGAATTAACTCTCAAAGGCTGGCTCAGAAAAAGTACAAGGAAAACTAGAAACGCCACTGCTTTAAATCAGCTTGTTTACAGAGCAGCTGTGAAAAAAACAGTATTTTCTTTAACTTCTAAAACTCAGTCACCAATGATACTACCAAAACATTTAAAATAAATTTTAAAATCAGTTTGCATGATTGTTAGACAAATGCATAAATTAGATATAAAGATAAATTCAGGAAGCTAGAAAGCAGTAACTTTAAAACCCAAAGAACTTTTGTGTTAATGCTGACTAGAATTATCAGCAGGGCAAAACATTTTGTTCAAATCGTTTCAAAAAGTTGTAGGAAGTCTATTAGTGTAGGGGTATGTGGGGGGGGATGTGCATGTGGGTGCCTGTACACATGTGTGCACGTGTATGTGGAGGCCAGATGGCAACCCTCTTCAGCAGCTCTGCATCTTATTTTTGAAACTGGAGTTCAACGAGGCTGAGCTGGCTGGCCAGCAAGTTCCAGGGAGCCACTTGTCTCTTTTTCCCAGCACTGGGATTACAGATCAACAGTATGTGCACCTTTTTATGTGGGGTGCTAGGGATCCTAACTTAGGTACTCATGTTTGTGTTGCAAGCACTTTACCAACTGAGTCATCTCCCCAGACCTGAAGTTTACTTTTAAAGTGCTCAAATTTGACTTTTAAAAGATAGATCTTGATTTCTGTTTATTTACAAAAGTGATACTTCCAAATTATGAAATAATCAATACAGGTTGGTTTTTCAAGCCCACTCCATCAGGGGAGAACTATAAACAATTTGGCATGTTTCTCTCTAGCCATTTTTATGAATAAAATATACATATATACTTTATGAACTATCAAATGTTTTTGTGTTTTTTTGGGGGGGGGTCTTTTTGAGACAGGGTCTCCCTGTAGCCCCAGCTGTCCTGGAACTCACTATGTAGACCAGGCTGGCCTTGAACTCACAGAGATCTACCTACCTCTGCCTCCTGAATGCTGGGATTAAAGGTATGCGCCACTATGCCCGGCTATCAAATGTTTTAAGAAACATTAATTCTACTTCATGAACATATTTATACTGTAAAGACTGTGAGATATTTAAAATGCTACAATGAGCATTTTTGTACATGAATAATTTCACACTACATGCACTTTTACCTCTGCAGGGAATATACAAAATTTGAAGAAAAAGCTATAAATATCATGTACAATTTTCTTTTTTTATTGAGTTCTGTTTTACTGCTATCTCAATATAGTAAGTTCACTGGGTCTTTACCAAGCCCACTAGCTACCCTAGAATCACAAAAATAAAGTCTTTTTCTCCTTATTTTAGTCTATATTATAAAATTAAAATGAACCAAATATTTTCTATTGCAGAAAACTTCACGTAACCAGAATCTATTAGAACATTATTAGATCTTTTGTTTTCCATTTTCTGTTTTCATTGACTCAATATGTAAAGTTACTTGTGCTTCAAAACTGAAATGTGAGATGAGACTAGTTTGCATTGATGACTTCTCTTATTCCCAAAGGGCCTTCAATGCTTCATTTCCTCTTCATACCACCTGTGAAGCTGTTTGATTCTCTAGTCTCTCAGTATTCACTTTAAAGGGCTTACTCTGCCAGGGCATGGTGCTGCATGCCTGTAATCTCAGCACTTGAGAGGTACAGGCAAATGGACCAGTTTAAAGTCACCCTCAGCTACATAGTAAGTATGAGACCAGCCTGGGCTCAACTCCCTCCAACCTTCGCCCCCAAAATTAAAGGGCTTATTTTGACTAACAGAAGTAAATAGAGCATATAATTTATAATGCTTTTAAAGAAACCTAATCAGAGGGGCTGTAAGGATGGCTCAGCAGCTAACAGCACTGGTTGCTCTTGCAGAGGACCCAGGTTTGATTCCTAGCACCCATCTGTAACTCCAGTTGCAAGGGATCCAACGCCCTCTTCTGACCTCCACAGGCATTGCACAACATGGGTGCACTTACACACATGCAAGCAATACATTCATGACCATAAAATTTAAAAAAATCCTTTATTGAATTATGTAGAGACGGTTCTTTTAGCTAACCAAAGCTTTGCCATATAACGAAGTGAAACTCATAAAGCCAGAGAATGAGACCGACAGCACTGATAACGAGATACCTTTCCATCAATGGGAACACCCAGCTCCTCTGAAAACAGGGGGTGAGTTATCCATTTGTAGGCTTCTTTTAGCTGAACTACATCATTTCTTCCCAACAGCAGACTCTGCTTTCTGAACAACATAAGAACTAATTCACTGACATAAAACTTCATTTTTCAAATTAAAGGACAGAATTTATGCAATTACTTTAAAATGTTGAGTGCCTCCTCCACGTCAGGAGCTATTTCACACATTAGATAGAAGACAGAACTCATATTCTAGTGATATCAAGAACTAGTTTCCTTAGCAGCATATGAGCTAGTTTTTAAAGATTAATGACAAAATCACATTATTTTTTCGAGTTGAATTGTCAGATTCTAGGACTCTAGAAAGGTCAAAAATATGGGTTTTTTTATTGCTTAGAAACTAAAACCATCTATGACAATAGTCACACACATGTTACAAAATTTACATCTCCTCTCCTACTGAAAATGGGATTTAACGGAAATCAAAAAGCTGTACTGACCCACCCCCTTCCTGCTTAAGAAGAAATTAAATCCCAAAGGATCAATGTTCTGAAACGTACATCAGGTAATATCAGATGGACGTCTGAATAAGAATCTTGCATTCCCCTAAAATCTACTCATGAGCCAATACACAGGTTTTGATAAATGCCCATTATGAGATCTAGCTTTGGTTTGTAGCCCACAGTTGTAATAGGAATTAAGGTATGAGGAAATAAAAACGTGGCACAGTATTACTAAAACTGTTCTACACTGATGAGAACCCTGAGATATTACTAACAAAGTAACAAACCAATATCATCCAAATAATTAAAATACCAAACCACCCCTCTGGCTATTTGTAGGATTGCTTTTAACAACAGAGATGCCAGGGCCAACTTGTGAGTCGTCCCTTTTAATGTCTAATTTTCACTGATAGAAATTACTACCTATAAGCAATATCCCTTATAATTTAATTCTGCAAGACCAATACACACTACTAACTGCAGGCAGAAAACAAAAAAAGTAATTTAGCTAATGGTTAAATTTAATTGATCCTTGGGAAAAAAAGAATATAAAAACTACTGTTCTGGCACAGTCACTGCTAAAACATCCATTATCCGGTGGATAACCCTATACCCATGGAAAACAAAAAATCATTAGGGGAAAAAAATTTTTTTTAAATATATATAACCGCTCCTCTGAAAATGCAAATTAAAAAGTTATCTATCTATTCTGTATCCAGTTGAGACCATAACTGGTCACAAGTGTTTTGAGCTTACAGTTTAACAATGAAATATCCAGATAAATTTTGCACTAGACATATCAAGTTACTTCTTTACCATCCGGAACTTCAGGTGCAGCAGCACACACCTTTTATGCCAGCACTCAGAAGGCAAAGGCAGGTGGATCTCTGTGAGTTCAAGGCCAGCCTGATTTCCATAGTGAGTTCCAGACTAGCTAGGGCTACAACAGTAAGACCCTGTCTCAAACATTAATTAATTAATTTAAAAACTAAATAAAAAATTAAAAACAGAAAAATAATATAAACTATTTTAGAATAATTTAGACTCTGATGTCTAAAGGGCTACAGCAAAATCTAACCTGTTAAGACATTGCTCACCATATATTTAAGAAAACTAGCTGGGCGTGGTGGCACAAGCCTTTAGTCCTGGCACTTCAGAGGCAGAGGGAGACAGATCTCTGTGAGTTCAAGGCCAGCCTGGTCTACATAGTGAGTTCAGGTCAGCTGGGACTACAGGGAGAGCCTGTCTCAAAAAGACCAAAAAAAAAAAAAAAAAAGCGTGTTCTAAATCCTTCACAATAGAAAGGGTTTTTAGAGCATGGAGTCCAGCTTAAAAACTTAACTGCAGGTACCTTTCTCCTTCAGCTTAAAAAGCAAGCTTGACAACTATATCCATATTTGGGCAAAAATATAATATTTAGTTAGGATTTTAAAATCCTAATTTAGGGTATGCATCTTCACAGAGGCCCTTGGCTGTATCTGACTGTCCTTTGCGTGATTAGTGCTCATGAAGACGGAAGTGGTCTTCCTTTAACCCTTAGTAACTGCCCTTCCCTCTCTCCACTCAGATACCTACAAATGAGGAGATCCTTCACCATCTCTTTCACTGTAGATACAACATGGGCCCCATTCTAAAGAAAAGGTCAACCAGAAGGTCTGAGGCAATTATTTTGATCTAAATTGCCTAAATGAATTCCTTAACACAAATTCTTTGTGATCAGAGTGAAGGAGGGTCGCTGAAGGAAGACTAGTCTCCTGTATTTTTTCTGTCCCAGTAGTCCTGTTTGGATCAAGTTCTTGTCAAAGAAACTAAGTTTGGTGCAAAACTCTCTGATAAGGAATAAAAAGAACTCATTAACAATATGCATACAAACTGAAAACATGCAGAAAACACCATGCTCCTTATGGCATGAAGCTTCTAAAGATGTAAGGTCAAATTTTCTTACACCTAAATCTTAAGCCTCAGAAACTAACATAAAGCCCCACAGCCTCTGATAAATATGTGGTTATTATTCTTTGAAAAGGGAAGATGCAGATGTGAAATACAAAACAAACAACAACAAAAAAACAAGCTCCTTACTTTTCCTGTAAATCAGAGAACTACAGGTAGGCTTTTAATAAAGAAATCTATACTTTTTTTCTGGGTTTTTCTCAGCTGAGTACATGGGAATCTCCAATAATCACATGGCCCTTTTTTAAGGTATATAATTTTTAGTTTTAAAATCCAAAAACTTTTAAGAATGAACAGTTTGGTTTTTTTTTAAAAGGTGGAAACCAAATCCTGATTTGAACCTGTGAACTCTGTTTCCCAAACTTAGTGTGGATGTGTTTGTTTCATTAAATAGTACATCTAATGACACAGCATCACCTAAGAAAGGTGTACATTATACATAATATTTGATACCATGTTACATTCCTAAAATTCTAAATTGTCAAACATATTTGGCTTCTAAGAGTTCTGGGTCAGAGTCTATAAGTTTATGTTTTCCATGCAGTCCCTGGAAACTCGTCACTTTTCATCACTTACTGTCTACTTTTATGATTTCGTTTCAAATGCAAAATAACTTCCCAAACTACATTATAAAAATGCCTAAACTATGAATATATAATCACATTAAATCTATGCATACAAAAATGAACCCACCTTAATAAACTGCTATGCAAGTCAGCTAACTGAACAAGGTTAAATAGTAAAAGTATTTTATTTTTGTCAACCCCTCTAGCAGCTACTGAATTGACTCTTAAAAAGGGGTATAATAGTAGTAAAAGTACTTTAAGAATCAGGTAGCGTGTATTTAAATGATGGTAAAAACTCCCTGTCTAAATTACTTACCCCATTTCCTGTTTTACCAGCAACCACACAGCATGCTGTAGACAATTTAGTCACACCCAGAAAGAAAAAAAAGGGAAAAATGTTCAGTGAAATGAAGTTCCAATATCATTACCAAAGTGCTTAACTAATTTGTTAATCAAACTCCCTTTAGTAGAAGAGGAGTCAGTGTTCAATGCAGTGACCTCAGCCTCATTTAAAATAAAAAACAAGGTAATATTTCACTTTGCAATGCTGACATTTGCTGTGGTCTAGGAATTCAACAGGGGTATCCCCTTCCTCCCCTCAGATTTGTATTTCTCATTAATGAGGTATGAGTGATTTTTTTAAACATTGGTGGCTTACTCTTCTTTTCTTAAAATACCTAAATATTTCATTGGGGGAAAGCCCAAAGAAGCAAGGCCTGGTGGCATCTGCCTGTAATCCCAGCAGTTGGGCGGTAGAGGGAAGATCGGAAGTTCAAGGCTAGCCTTGGTTACAAAGCAAGTTTGAGGCCAGCCAGGGCTACATGAGGCCCTGTCTCAAAAGCAAGCAAATAAACAAGCAGCCCAAAGTGACTGAGTATATACACAGACCCCACCCCAATAGAACTGAATGTTTTGAGTTTTATTTTTTCAATGGGGATGCTATATTTAACTCTACCTAGCTCGTGATATCCATGCTTTTAAGTTCAGGAGTTAAATGTAGTACTGCCTGCACCTCTCTTTAAAATATGATAAAAACTAGCCAGGTGTGGTGGCACACACCTTTAATCCCAGCAGGGGCAGGGCAGATCTCTGTGAGATCTAGGCCAGCCTAGTCTACATACCAAGTTCCAGGCCAGCTACAGATACAGGGAGATCCTGTCTCAAAAAACAAACAAACAAAAAACTGTATTTATAATAAAGTAAGGGGGCTGGAGAGATGGCTCAGTGGTTAAAAACACTGACTGTTTAGGTCTGGAGAGATGGCTCAGTGGTTAAGAACACTGGTTGTTCTTGGAGAAGACCCAGATTCGAATCCCAGCACCCACATGGCAGCTAACAACTCTCTGTAACTCCAGTTCCAGGAATCCAACAGCCTCTTCTGTCTTCCACAAGCATTGCAAGACACAGGTGCACTTACCTACATGCAGGCATAACACTCGTACACATAAAATAAAAATAATAAATAAAACATTAAAAACATTTTTTAAATAAATACCTGACACTGATATCAGGCTTAGGAACCTAAGGCTAAACAGGTCACATGACACAGGGGAGCGCCTAATGCCGATTTTCTACTAAATAGTTACCATATTAAACTGACTCTTAATGACTTATTGTCATACCCATAGATTAATGCATCTCTCAGCTCTCATCAGAGAAGTTTCCTTATGCAACAGATACCGATTAACACAGAAACCCATAACTGACCAACATGCAGAGAACACGAGGCTGCAGAGTGCTTATTCCTGAATAGGACGCCTATATCAAACTTCTGTTCCCCTATCCCTCTCCCACCTAAGGCTCAAAGATCAATGTGGACGAGGAAGCAGAAAGATCGTAAGAGCCAGAATTGGTGGATGACCACGAGGAAACAGTTTTCCAGACAGCTGGTCAGTTACTCATTTGAACTCACAGCAATGGTGAGAGCATGCACAAGTCCCACGTAAGCTCAAATCAAACAAAATCCTAGCACAGACATAAGGTAGTGGGTAAGAAACGCCAACCCAACTTAAGGAAATTGTGGCAACAGATGGCCGCCGGAATGGGCAGTGACAGTCTCTTTCAAGGATGGGACTCTTGGTAGGTTAATCAAGCTCCAGGGGATAGACCCACACTGAATGACATTTAGAGACACAAATTAGACTCTATAGGCCCATTTTATATAGAGAGTACATTAATTTGGGCAGGAGGCATTAAGCCGAGGTGAGGATAGAAGAGGGGATCTAAATACCATCAAATTATATTGTATGAAAATGGCAAAAATTAAAAAAAATAAAGCAAATATAGGAAAATAGTAACAATTGTAAAAATAAGTGGGTTATGGGTTGACATTTCTCCCAACTTCTCCATGTATTTGAAAATTCATAATGAAATGTTAGGGAAAACATTCTAGGAAAAATTAATTTAAAAATGCAAAAATGTGGGGGCTGGAGAGATGGTTCAGTGATTCAGAGTGCTTACTGCTCTTTCAGAGGAACTGGATTGTTTCCAGCACTCACGTGACGGCTCACAACTACCTGTAACTCTAGTTCCAGAGATCCAATGCCCTCTTCTAGCCTCTGCAGGCATGAAACATTCACATGGTACACATATATACTTGCAGACAAACACCCATACACACTGAAAAAATGAGTCATTTAAAACATTTTCTGGGCTGAAGAAATGGCTCCATGGTTAAGAGCACTGACAGCCCTTGCAGAGGACCTGGATTTGATTCCCAGCACCCACATGGGGGCTAACAACCGTCCATTAACTCCAGTTCCAGGGGAATCCAATACCCTCTTCTGACTTCCCCAGGCATTGCATGAAGTGCTTGAAATAACTGATTTGTTGTTTACTCTGTTCCCTCAACCTAATACTGTTTACGATACTGAAAAAAAAAAAAAAAAAACCCTCCTTCATTTCTTCCACTTACTCAAGCCCTATTTCAAACTGTATGACCATGGTATAATATACAAATTTCTAAAGTCAGAGAACACAGCTTGAATTGTCAATGAATCTCTGGGATTCAGTTTCCTAAAGTGTAAAAAGAAAGCATCAAAAGCCAAATTACAGCCGGGCATGGTGGCGCACACCTTTAATCCCAGCAGAGACAGGCGGATCTCTGTGAGTTCAAGGCCAGCCTGGTCTACATAGTGATTTCCAGGACAGCTGGGGCTACAGGGAGACCCTGTCTCAAAAAGACCAAGAAAAAAAAAAGCCAAATTACGATTCCTGCAACTTAAACTTTGAAATGAGGGGCTGGAGAGATGGCTCAGCAGTTAAGAGCACTGACTGCTCTTGCAGAGGACCCAGGTTCGATTCCAGCACCCACGCTGGGCTACGAACCATCCTTAACTCCAGTTCCAGGGAAATTGGATGCCCTCTTCTGACCTCTGTGGCATTGCATGACACGGATTCACTCATATACATGCAGGCAATACACTCATATACATAAAATAAAAATAATAAATAAAATATATTTAAACTTTGAAATGACTAAAAGTGATCATGACTAGGCAGCCACACACCACACTTCTTTATAACAAATATATGGAGACTGATAGGTCTTTGAGATTATAAAAAGAATAAATAAAGATCAAAGTTGAAAAGCTGCAGATAATGGCCCAGCATTCCCCAATACTATGAGATCAATAAATGTATTTCTTTGTCTATACAGAATGTTAATATGTCCCCTGTAGGAATATCATGAGAATTTAATGAAATCACATACACAAGTAAAAAAGGAAGATTCTTGGCATATACTTGATAAATGCTAACTATTACTGTTATATTGAAATCCTTTCTATCATTTACAAACAAGATAGTTCAGATTTCTCCCTTAAAAGATCTACAGGCCTTGGTCTCATCTCTTCATATCCCCAAACTGCTATAAGAAGTTCTGGAAAATTCTTCATCAGTGAAATTTGAGCTATAGAAAATTCTCTTTTTGAAGGACCCTCAGGCTCCACTATACTTTCTAGTGATCTTTTTGTGTCTTCTTTTGAGGAAACCTATTCTCTATAATTACTGGCAGGTGATGTCATCAGTGTTCAAGGTATCCTACTGTACTCTTCATTATAAAGTCAAGAGAACTGAAGGTTGCCAAGGGAAACCAGATAACCATGTGTAATGTAAAATTAAATCAAATGTCTTCAGTATCGGAGACTTGCTAAAGGGTTTTTCCTTCCTAATCCTCTGCAGGCTCCATGAACAAGCATGCTTCAGGTTGAACAGAACTAATCACACAGCAGGGACTAAAAGGCTGAATCCCAAAGAAGTCAGTATTGCTCAATGATTCAATTTTACTACATGCTAATAATGGCCTGGACCTGCTTCTGCCAAGGAAAAAAAAAGTACATCTCTCCCTTTTAGGTCACCAAGATAATTTTAATAAATGTTCTATTCTTTAGTCAGTGGGAAAAAAATCATTCTCTAGAGTAAGCAATTAAATTCTTCTGTCCCAACAGAATCAAATGGCATTAAAGTTATCAAGTTTAATCAAATTTGATACCAGAGGCAGTATGTCACCTCCTGAAAATTCAGGAGCCACATAATTTAATCCTAGACTCGATTTAACTTTGAGAATTCTAGCTAGGCAAATTCTAAATAGGGCAGTTGACTGCTTGCTAAAGCACTGTGTACTCTGGTAAAATATGTGCACACACATACATACAACCCCACAGACAAGAGGGTCTATGCCTGGGAATATCTCTTGAGCTCTGAGTAAGAAGCTGGAGGTTTACCTTACATCAAACAATGAGAGTGGGTAACAGTACAGTGGGAGTAGAGGGGAAGAAAAGAAGGAGAGAGCGGGGGTCAGTAAAGTTGAAGTTTGGGTAAACATGTGTATATAAATGAGAGTGGAGTTCAATGACTAGAGACTGATGTTAATCTTAAGAGTCAACTGTTGGGATTTGGACCCATCATGGAAACAAATCTCTGGACACCTGTGTGAGGGATTATCTAGATTAGGTTAACTGAAGTGGGAAGACCCACCCAGTATGTGAGTGGTGCCATTCCATGGGCTGAATACAAAGGGCTAAGTGAACTGAGCACCAGCATCCATCTCTCTGCTTCCTGATTGTGATGCACTGTGACCAGTCGGCTCCCACATGGACTGTATCCCCTGGAACTGTAAGCAAAAACAGAAAACAAAACCAACGTCCCTTCTTTAAGCTGCTTTTGTCAGCTGTTGTGACACAGCAATAAGACAAATAACAGAGAGATGAAACTGGAAGAGTCAGAACAAATCGGGACATGACCCCAAAGACTACAACCATGACGTAAGAATAGCATCTGTGTACATGAAGTCTTAAAAAAATGTACAAAAGGGACACCTGATTCCCAAGTCATATTTTACTACTTATTTC